AATGTGCCAGACTTTGTCAAAAGCCTGCGTTATGTCAAGAAAGGCAGCGGAACAGTACTGCTTGGATTCAATTGCATCATGTATCTTGTTTACTAGCCTATGAGTTTGGTGGATGGTGGAGTGCTGATAACGAAATCCGAATTGGTGATCCGGAAGGATGTGCTGGGTTTCAACTATTGGGAGAAGTCTTTGGAAAATGAGTTTCTCAAAGACTTTGGATAAGGTGGGGAGGAGACTTATAGGTCGATAGGATGATGGTAGATCAGTAGGTTTCCCAGGTTTGAGGATGAGAATGATTTGCGCTACTTTCCATTGGTTAGGGAAGTAGCAAAGGCGGATGGATGCATTGATAATTTGGGTTAGGTTTTTGATACAGTTGGGGGGGAGGTTTTGGAGGATCTTGGCCGTGATGAGATCAAACCCGGGGGAAGAACACAGAGATATGGATCACAGAGAAATGGCAGGAAAGCATGTCAAGTTTGCAGACTTCTTTTATTGATCATTTGAAGGCAATCAGCAAACACTTGTCACCTTTAGCTGAAGTCCTGAATCAAGATCTTAAAAATCAGATTTCCTGAACATGAAAGTAGGGCTCCCGCATGGCACACAAGTATTTAAAATATTGTTACAGTTATACTCCCACCCCAACATACAATTTTGCTGCATAAAACACCTTTAGGAAAGTCCAAGGAAATCAGGAGAGACTGGAACTGAGTGGGACACATCAGCTTCTGGTCTGTGTTGATGAAGTTAATTTACTGAGTACAACACATGTACCATAAAGAAAAACACAGGAGCTCCATTAGACACTATCAGTGAGATTGGTTTGCAAATAAACTGTACAGGCAATGAAGTATTGTTATTTACTTTCCATACAGTACGGACAATTCTCCGTAAGATGAGGCACCAACTATACAATTAATTAATTTGCAACATCATGGGACTCCTATGCATTCTTATATAAAAGAAATATTGAATTTCCAATTTGTCCATGGAAATGTATGAAAAGTAAAATATCAACGACTGATTCGATGTTATATAACATCAATTTTATCGTGTTTTATACAATAACGTCTAGTTTTTTTATATAATCTGACTTATTGTATTTTTACACAAAGTATTTTAAATGATTAATAACATTGAAGAAAGCAGTCTTCTGGGATTTGGCACCGTATATATGTGGTGTTAACCGACGTTTCGGAGGAACGTATCGCCTCCATCTTCAGGGTAGAAAGAAAAAATATAAGAATCCGCAAGCGAAGAGACCATGAGAACCGGTAAAAGCAGACTGACATTGTATCCAATCTAATGTACTGCAGTTCAATGGTATATGTTTGTTAATATGTGTTTGCCTGATGATGGCCATTAGTGGCTGAAACATGTAGCGAAACATAGCTGGGCGCTGACCTTGATTTTTCTGTTTGTTGTGTTGTGACGGTCAACAAAGAATTGTATATTGTAACATAACAGGATGCACAAAATGAAAAAAATAATAATGCACTTGACTATACTTTCATGAAAGTTGGACTGAATCTGACGGCAGAACCATAAGAAGAAACAAATATAATTATAAAAGACAAGTCCGTCCAGTGTGACTATTTCAGTTTTCTCACTTGATGATTCACTAGCCTTACATGTTTTGATCCATCTGGATTATCTTCAGAGGCACCAAACACTTTTTAGAAACCACTATCACAACAGTTGTCATATTAAATACACATGTAATGTCCAAGTACACAATGTTCCATCTATCATCCATCCATCTATCTTATTTCCATTCTGTCATGTCCTATGGCTTGATATTCTG